ACGGATAACGGCTAATAAGTCAGAAACGGCTATCCCAGTCACCCTTGCTAGTAGCCAGCTTGCGGCTGCCTACGGGGCTCTACTTCAAGCATACGATCGGTGAGCGCCATCTGCCATCGTTCAAAAACGCCATTTTCGGTGTTTCATTGCTTGGCTATCGATCACATCTCAACTCCTCAACCTGCCCAAAACCCGGCTTGAATTTCAACCACCCCACAGTTCGTTTTCTGCCCAACAACAGCAACCCTATTTGCCTTAACACTTAGGAAAGTGCTCTAGACGGAGAACACTGAAGCACTTAACACAGCAATCAGACGAATTTTTCAGCCGACGCAAAGCGATCAGCCGCTGCCCACTCGTTCTACATTCCGGAGGTGGTTTGAGAATGCTTAAATGGAGGCCTGTTAGTCCTTGTAAGGCGAGCCGCAGGGCTTTTACACGACGGGAGTCTCATGCTGCCAAGTAGGGGGCTGGTAGGAATTTATCGAAGTGCCGCCCGATGGAAAGTATTAATGATAATAATAAATGCTACTTGTAAATGATCAGTAGGTCGAATTTCCACCAATCCCTAACCGCGCGTGCCGTCCCAAGCGAAACACCTTTAGAATCGGAGACCAGCGCTTTGCACCACCGTATCAGGATACAACACATGCAGCATAAAAAATACTAATGGGCAAATAATACAGGCGTGAAAAATTTGACCATTCAAACAAAAATTTGCACTGCATCGCAACAGAAGGGCGCGCCTCGAATGGAAAACAAGGAATACGAGGGCGCCAACAGTAAATTCCTTCTATCCACCGGCAGAAGTTGCGCGCGCGTGCTTCTTCGACGACGCGATTGATTCAGTGCAGACAAAACGGAAAAAAGAAGAACCTGATACACAAAGGGTGGGGGAGGGGGGGGGAACGCGATAGAAATGCGCCAATAAAAGAGTTTGCAGAGGCTGGCGGCCCTCAATGTGGAACACTATACAGTAGAGGTCGGATGGAACCGGGCTAACTTTGGCCCGCGCCATCAGCATCACCAGACGAGTGTGGGAGCGGACCAAGGTGGCAGTGGGTTGCATCAAACTTTCTTCTTCTTCTTCCCCGGTTCTAGAGACGAAGATGAAGAATCTGAGGACGAGGAAGAAGAGGAGTCAGACGAACCTGATGATGATGATGAAGAAGAGGAGGATGAAGACGAGGATTGGCCATTCTTCGATTTCTTTCCGTCAGCTTCGTCCTCGGAGGACGATGAGGATGAAGTGGCGTCAGCGTCTACTTTCTTGCCCTTCTTGGATGCCTTCGCCTTGTCGTCCTTGGTGGTGGTGGCAGCGGCACCCTCCTCGTCAGCTGCATCCTGACTGTCTTCGCCCCAAATGTCATACTTGGCAAGGTCGTTCTCGTCACCCGATTCCTCCTCCTCGTCCTCTTCGTCTTCTTCCGCCTCCTCCTGCTCCGCCTTTTGATCGGCGTCACGACCTTCTTTGGAGGCCTGCTTAGGCGAGCGTGAAGTTTGGGGGGATTTGTCGTCAGGAGAAGCCTTTTCTGCTTGGCTGTCTCCCTCATCCTCGTGCTAGGAGAGGGG